ACTACTCCCCTCAGCTCCACTCCCTCCTCTGCGGTAGGGTCGAGTCCCCAGCCCCCAGTGGTGACCACCTCGTCCCCTGGCACGGCTTCGTCTCTCATTGTGACTACTGCGCCTTTTACCCCCCCTCTCTCTCTCTGGGGGTTCTCAACGCCATTCTCGCCACGGCCACACTCGCACGATCCCTTCCCGTAATACTACTTACAACGCCTTGTTTGTGACAAACATACTGTAACAAACACACTGTGACAAACACACTGTAACAAACACACTGTGACAAACACACTGTGACAAACACACTGTGATAAACACACTGTAACAAACACACTGTGATAAACACACTGTAACAAACACACTGTGACAAACACACTGTGACAAACACACTGTGATAAACACACTGTGACAAACACACTGTAACAAACACACTGTGACAAACACACTGTAACAAACACACTGTGACAAACACACTGTAACAAACACACTGTGACAAACACACTGTGACAAACACACTGTGATAAACACACTGTGACAAACACACTGTGATAAACACACTGTGACAAACACACTGTGATAAACACACTGTGATAAACACACTGTGATAAACACACTGTGATAAACACACTGTGACAAACACACTGTGATAAACACACTGTGACAAACACACTGTGATAAACACACTGTGACAAACACACTGTGATAAACACACTGTGACAAACACACTGTGACAAACACACTGTAACAAACACACTGTGACAAACACACTGTGATAAACACACTGTGACAAACACACTGTGATAAACACACTGTGACAAACACACTGTGATAAACACACTGTGATAAACACACTGTGACAAACACACTGTGACAAACACACTGTGATAAACACACTGTGACAAACACACTGTGATAAACACACTGTGATAAACACACTGTGATAAACACACTGTGACAAACACACTGTGATAAACACACTGTGACAAACACACGGACAAACACACGGACAAACACACGGACACACAGTGACAAACACAAGGACAAACTGTGACAAACACAAGGACAAACTGTGACAAACACAAGGACAAACAGTGACAAACACAAGGACAAACAGTGACAAACACACGGACAAACTGTGACAAACACACGGACAAACAGTGACAAACACAAGGACAAACAGTGACAAACACAAGGACAAACTGTGACAAACACACGGACAAACTGTGACAAACACAAGGACAAACTGTGACAAACACACGGACAAACTGTGACAAACACAAGGACAAACTGTGACAAACACACGGACAAACTGTGACAAACACACGGACAAACTGTGACAAACACACGGACAAACTGTGACAAACACACGGACAAACTGTGACAAACACACGGACAAACAGTGACAAACACACGGACAAACTGTGACAAACACATGGACAAACTGTGACAAACACACGGACAAACTGTGACAAACACAAGGACAAACTGTGACAAACACAAGGACAGTGACAAACACACGGACAAACTGTGACAAACACACCGACAAACTGTGACAAACACAAGGACAAACAGTGACAAACACACGGACAAACTGTGACAAACACAAGGACAAACAGTGACAAACTGTGACAAACACACGGACAAACTGTGACAAACACACGGACAAACTGTGACAAACACAAGGACAAACTGTGACAAACACAAGGACAAACTGTGACAAACACACGGACAAACTGTGACAAACACACGGACAAACTGTGACAAACACAAGGACAAACAGTGACAAACACAAGGACAAACACACGGACAAACTGTGACAAACACACGGACAAACTGTGACAAACACAAGGACAAACAGTGACAAACACACGGACAAACTGTGACAAACACACGGACACACTGTGACAAACACAAGGACAAACTGTGACAAACACAAGGACAAACTGTGACAAACACACGGACAAACTGTGACAAACACACGGACAAACACAAGGACAAACAGTGACAAACACACGGACAAACTGTGACAAACACACGGACAAACTGTGACAAACACAAGGACAAACAGTGACAAACACACGGACAAACTGTGACAAACACAAGGACAAACTGTGACAAACACAAGGACAAACAGTGACAAACACAAGGACAAACAGTGACAAACACAAGGACAAACTGTGACAAACACACGGACAAACTGTGACAAACACACTGTGACAAACACAAGGACAAACAGTGACAAACACAAGGACAAACAGTGACAAACACAAGGACAAACAGTGACAAACACAAGGACAAACTGTGACAAACACACGGACAAACTGTGACAAACACAAGGACAAACTGTGACAAACACAAGGACAAACAGTGACAATCACAAGGACAAACAGTGACAAACACAAGGACAAACTGTGACAAACACAAGGACAAACAGTGACAAACACAAGGACAAACTGTGACAAACACAAAGACAAACTGTGACAAACACACGGACAAACTGTGACAAACACATGGACAAACAGTGACAAACACACGGACAAACTGTGACAAACACAAGGACAAACACACGGACACACTGTGACAAACACACGGACAAACTGTGACAAACACAAGGACAAACTGTGACAAACACAAGGACAAACAGTGACAAACACACGGACAAACTGTGACAAACACAAGGACAAACTGTGACAAACACAAGGACAAACAGTGACAAACACACGGACAAACTGTGACAAACACAAGGACAACAAACACAAGGACAAACTGTGACAAACACACGGACAAACTGTGACAAACACAAGGACAAACACACGGACACTGTGACAAACACACGGACAAACTGTGACAAACACAAGGACAAACTGGACAAACAGTGACAAACACACAAACACAAGGACAAACTGTGACAAACACAAGGACAAACAGTGACAAACACACGGACAAACTGTGACAAACACAAGGACAAACACACGGACACACTGTGACAAACACACGGACAAACTGTGACAAACTCAAGGACAAACTGTGACAAACACAAGGACAAACTGTGACAAACACAAGGACAAACTGTGACAAACACAAGGACAAACTGTGACAAACACAAGGACAAACTGTGACAAACACAAGGACAAACTGTGACAAACACAAGGACAAACTGTGACAAACACAAGGACACACTGTGACAAACACAAGGACAAACTGTGACGAACACAAGGACAAACAGTGACAAACACAAGGACAAACAGTGACAAACACAAGGACAAACTGTGACAAACACACGGACAAACTGTGACAAACACACTGTGACAAACACAAGGACAAACAGTGACAAACACAAGGACAAACAGTGACAAACACAAGGACAAACAGTGACAAACACAAGGACAAACTGTGACAAACACACGGACAAACTGTGACAAACACAAGGACAAACTGTGACAAACACAAGGACAAACTGTGACAAACACAAGGACAAACAGTGACAAACATAAGGACAAACAGTGACAAACACAAGGACAAACTGTGACAAACACAAGGACAAACTGTGACAAACACAAGGACAAACAGTGACAAACACAAGGACAAACTGTGACAAACACACGGACAAACTGTGACAAACACAAGGACACAAGGACAAACTGTGACAAACACAAGGACAAACTGTGACAAACACACGGACACACTGTGACAAACACAAGGACAAACAGTGACAAACACAAGGACAAACAGTGACAAACACAAGGACAAACTGTGACAAACACAAGGACAAACTGTGACAAACACACGGACAAACTGTGACAAACACAAGGACAAACTGTGACAAACACAAGGACACACTGTGACAAACACACGGACACACTGTGACAAACACAAGGACAAACTGTGACAAACACACGGACACACTGTGACAAACACACGGACACACTGTGACAAACACATGGACACTCTGTGACAAACACAAGGACAAACTGTGACAAACACAAGGACAAACTGTGACAAACACAAGGACAAACTGTGACAAACACAAGGACAAACTGTGACAAACACACGGACACACTGTGAGAAACACACGGACACACTGTGACAAACACAAGGACAAACTGTGACAAACACAAGGACAAACTGTGACAAACACACGGACACACTGTGACAAACACAAGGACAAACTGTGACAAACACAAGGACACACTGTGACAAACACACGGACACACTGTGACAAACACACGGACAAACTGTGACAAACACACGGACAAACTGTGACAAAGACAAGGACAAACTGTGACAAACACACGGACAAACTGTGACAAACACACGGACAAACAGTGACAAACACACTGACAAACACACGGACAAACTCTGACAAACACACGGACTAACAGTGACAAACACACGGACAAACACATGGACCGAGAACATTTTATAATACTGTGACTAATGTTTTGTCTTGTTATTAACAACAACACTTACCGGGTTATCTAAGATAAGGATGAATGGATGGAGCGACGACAACACTTACCGGGTTATCTAAGATAAGGATGAATGGATGGAGCGACAACAACACTTACCGGGTTATCTAAGATAAGGATGAATGGATGGAGCGACAACAACACTTACCGGGTTATCTAAGATAAGGATGAATGGATGGAGCGACAACAACACTTACCGGGTTATCTAAGATAAGGATGAATGGATGGAGCGACAACAACACTTACCGGGTTATCTAAGATAAGGATGAATGGATGGAGCGACAACAACACTTACCGGGTTATCTAAGATAAGGATGAATGGATGGAGCGACAACAACACTTACCGGGTTATCTAAGATAAGGATGAATGGATGGAGCGACAACAACACTTACCGGGTTATCTAAGATAAGGATGAATGGATGGAGCGACAACAACACTTACCGGGTTATCTAAGATAAGGATGAATGGATGGAGCGACAACAACACTTACCGGGTTATCTAAGATAAGGATGAATGGATGGAGCGACAACAACACTTACCGGGTTATCTAAGATAAGGATGAATGGATGGAGCGGACATTCTTCTTGCCAATCCTGACCACAGTTCTCACATCCTGAAATATATCTATATAATACAAACTAAACTTTTTAAATACTCTACTACTGAGATTATATATATATATATATATATATATATATATATATATATATATATATATATATATATATATATATATATATATATATATATATATATAATTTCTACATTCTTGTAATTTTACAAAATATTCTGTACACATTATAATATATTTTTCCACAAGTGGGTATAAGAGTAGACATGTTGAGCCTCGTGTTAGCAGGCTGAGAACTTTCCCTTCCCACACCTCATGGTAAACACTACTAGTTTTCCCTGGAACATGACCCCTCAACTGGTTAACAACCAGGTACACAATTACTGCTGAGCGAACAGTCAAATACATAACGATTGTTGCCCAGTCAATCCTCCTTGGCAAAGGTAAGTAATTACCAAGAGAAAGTACTAAGCCAGTATGACTATAGAGCACATGGAAGGGATATGAGAATGGAGTCTAGGAATGGTGCCCAACCACTTGGGCAACTGGGGATCGAACGCTGACCCTGCAAAAAAAGCCAGTCCACAATATTATAGACTAATCCAAGTGAATAGACGGGAGCAGTAGACCGTAAGTTTATCTACAGTAACACGTGAAGGACGGGAGCAGTAGACCGTAAGTTTATCTACAGTAAACACGTGAAGGACGGGAGCAGTAGACCGTAAGTTTATCTACAGTAACACGTGAAGGACGGGAGCAGTAGACCGTAAGTTTATCTACAGTAACACGTGAAGGACGGGAGCAGTAGACCGTAAGTTTATCTACAGTAACACGTGAAGGACGGGAGCAGTAGACCGTAAGTTTATCTACAGTAACACGTGAAGGATGGGAGCAGTAGACCGTAAGTTTATCTACAGTAACACGTGAAGGACGGGAGCAGTAGACCGTAAGTTTATCTACAGTAACACGTGAAGGACGGGAGCAGTAGACCGTAAGTTTATCTACAGTAACACGTGAAGGACGGGAGCAGTAGACCGTAAGTTTATCTACAGTAACACGTGAAGGACGGGAGCAGTAGACCGTAAGTTTATCTACAGTAACACGTGAAGGACGGGAGCAGTAGACCGTAAGTTTATCTACAGTAACACGTGAAGGACGGGAGCAGTAGACCGTAAGTTTATCTACAGTAAACACGTGAAGGACGGGAGCAGTAGACCGTAAGTTTATCTACAGTAAACACGTGAAGGACGGGAGCAGTAGACCGTAAGTTTATCTACAGTAAACACGTGAAGGACGGGAGCAGTAGACCGTAAGTTTATCTACAGTAACACGTGAAGGACGGGAGCAGTAGACCGTAAGTTTATCTACAGTAAACACGTGAAGGACGGGAGCAGTAGACCGTAAGTTTATCTACAGTAACACGTGAAGGACGGGAGCAGTAGACCGTAAGTTTATCTACAGTAAACACGTGAAGGACGGGAGCGTGTGTATGAACTATCTCCTGCAGCAGTAACGTGTACAGTGTTGTGGTTATTGTTAACGTGAGACATACGAGACTCAACCTTCACTTCCCTGTGTGTATGAACTATCTCCTACAGCAGTAACGTGTACAGTGTTGTGGTTATTGTTAACGTGAGACATACGAGACTCAACCTTCACTTCCCTGTGTGTATGAACTATCACCTGCAGCAGTAACGTGTACAGTGTTGTGGTTATTGTTAACGTGAGACATACGAGACTCAGCCTTCACTTCTCTGTGTGTATGAACTATCTCCTACAGCAGTAACGTGTACAGTGTTGTGGTTATTGTTAACGTGAGACATACGAGACTCAACCTTCACTTCCCTGTGTGTATGAACTATCACCAGCAGCAGTAACGTGTACAGTGTTGTGGTTATTGTTAACGTGAGACATACGAGACTCAACCTTCACTTCCCTGTGTGTATGAACTATCTCCTACAGCAGTAACGTGTACAGTGTTGTGGTTATTGTTAACGTGAGACATACGAGACTCAACCTTCACTTCCCTGTGTGTATGAACTATCACCTACAGCAGTAACGTGTACAGTGTTGTGGTTATCGTTAACGTGAGACATACGAGACTCAACCTTCACTTCCCTGTGTGTATGAACTATCACCATAAACTGTTGCAACATTACCTTCTATGGAAGATGTATTATACAAGCCAGTTACAGAGACTGGCTGACAAGTTGCAAGTACACGTTCTTCATTCCTGGAATGTCCGGCAGTAAAATGTGATTTTTTAAAGCGTTTTACTGTAGAGTTGTTCACGTGATCACTGTCGTCAGAGGTCATCAACATGTTCCCATGGTGCACCTGTTCTGCCTTGTGTGGTGACTTCATTCTCAGTGATGCTGCCTCACAACTGTCGTCTTCTGTCGGCACAACCTGCAAAAATACCAAGTGATCAACTCTGCCATCTAGCAAGACGTGCAACATGTCAAACACCGTAACAATCTCTTCAAGAGCTACATCAATGAATGTGTAGTTGTCAGCAATAATCAGTTTCAAGTGAATATCATAATGAAATATGCAAATTGTTGCTGTTAAGTAACTTTGGCGATACTGCACAATAACACACTTGGGTAAATCATTTAACACTATACAGTACCACAATGTTATGTCATTATTGGCAGGCAAGGTTTAGTTCACTTTGATGTTTGTTAAACAATGTGTGTGTGTACCTACCTACATGTTGACTACCTATTGAAGGTTCTGGGGACCACTGTCACCATAGCCTCTGACCAAGCCTCCTGGCTGCTGGTCTGATCCACCAGGCTGTTTGATGCCTGATGCATGAGTCACAGCCTGGTTGATAAGGTATGCTTTGAAGGAGCTTATCGAGTTCTCTCTTAAACACTGTGAGAGATAGGTCAGTTATGCCCCTTATGTGTAGTGGAAGCGTGTTGAACAGTCTCGGACCTCTTATGTTGATAGAGTTCTCTCTCAGAGTACCTGATGCACCTCTGCTTTTCAACAGGGGTATTATGCACATCCTGCCATGTCTTCTGGTCTCATGTGATGTTATTTCCGTGTACAGGTTTGGGACCAGCCCCTCTAATATTTTCCCTCTAATATTGTAAATTATTATGTACCTCTCCCACCTGCGCTCAAGAGAGTACAGTTTTAGGCTCTTTAGTCGGTCCCAATAGTTAAGATGTTTTACTGAGTGGATTCTAGCAGTAAAGGATCTCTGCACGCTCTCCAGGTCAGCAATTTCTCCAGCTTTGAAAGGGGCTGTCATTGTGCAGCAGTACTCCACTCTAGAGAGCACAAGCGTTTTGAAAAGTGTCATCATCGGTATAGCATCTCTAGTGTGAAAAGTTCTTGTTATCCAACCTGTCATTTTTCTTGCAGTTGTGACGGCTACTTTATTGTGTTCTTTAAAGGTAAGGTCTTCCAACATGAGTACACCCAGATCCTTTACATTGCCTTTTCGTTCTATGTTATGATTTGCCTGAGTTTTGCACGTGGTTTCCGTTTACATATTTTCATTCATACCCACCATAGTGGGTATGGTTCACTTTTATACTGCCGCTCCCACTTGTTGTGCAACTTGTAGTGAATGATGGAGTCTGACTCCAGGGTCCTTTTCTTCATCTGTCTCTTGTAAGGTTGTTGTCAGTTTGGTAGTTGTGACGTGGACTGTTGTGTCCCACATGCAAGGTCTGGCATTTATTGTTTGGTAGTTGTGACGTGGACTGTTGTGCCCCACATGCAAGGTCTGGCATTTATTGTTTGGTAGTTGTGACGTGGACTGTTGTGCCCCACATGCAAGGTCTGGCATTTATTGTTTGGTAGTTGTGACGTGGACTGTTGTGCCCCACATGCAAGGTCTGGCATTTATTGTTTGGTAGTTGTGACGTGGACTGTTGTGCCCCACATTATGCCCCACATTCTCTCCAGGAGCGTGAGGATGTGTGATGACAAGCTGGTCGGGCGGTAGTGTTCTGCCCAGCTCTTAATGCCTTGTCTTTACAAGATTGTTCACTGTGAGATGTTGTATGATTCCTTCCCTTAGGATTCTCTCCAGGAGCTTGAGCATGTGTTATGGCAAGCTGGTCGGGCGGTAGTGTTCTGCCCAGCTCTTAATGCCTTGTCTTTACAAGATTGTTCACTGTGAGATGTTGTATGATTCCTTCCCTTAGGATTCTCTCCAGGAGCTTGAGGATGAGTGATGGCAAGCTGGTCGGGCGGTAGTGTTCTACCCAGCTCTTAATGCCTTGTCTTTATAAGATTGTTCACTGTGAGATGTTGTATGATTCCTTCCCTTAGGATTCTCTCCAGGAGCTTGAGGATGAGTGATGGCAAGCTGGTCGGGCGGTAGTGTTCTGCCCAGCTCTTAATGCCTTGTCTTTACAAGATTGTTCACTGTGAGATGTTGTATGATTCCTTCCCTTAGGATTCTCTCCAGGAGCGTGAGGATGTGTGATGACAAGCTGGTCGGGCGGTAGTGTTCTGCCCAGCTCTTAATGCCTTGTCTTTACAAGATTGTTCACTGTGAGATGTTGTATGATTCCTTCCCTTAGGATTCTCTCCAGGAGCTTGAGGATGTGTGATGGCAAGCTGGTCGGGCGGTAGTTTTCTGCCCAGCTCTTAATGCCTTGTCTTTACAAGATTGTTCACTGTGAGATGTTGTATGATTCCTTCCCTTAGGATTCTCTCCAGGAGCTTGAGGATGTGTGATGACAAGCTGGTCGGGCGGTAGTTTTCTGCCCAGCTCTTAATGCCTTGTCTTTACAAGATTGTTCACTGTGAGATGTTGTATGATTCCTTCCCTTAGGATTCTCTCCAGGAGCTTGAGGATGTGTTATGGCAAGCTGGTCGGGCGGTAGTGTTCTGCCCAGCTCTTAATGCTTTGTCTTTACAAGATTGTTCACTGTGAGATGTTGTATGATTCCTTCCCTTAGGATTCTCTCCAGGAGCTTGAGGATGTGTGATGGCAAGCTGGTCGGACGGTAGTGTTCTGCCCAGCTCTTAATGCCTTGTCTTTACAAGATTGTTCACTGTGAGATGTTGTATGATTCCTTCCCTTAGGATTCTCTCCAGGAGCTTGAGGATGTGTGATGGCAAGCTGGTCGGGCGGTAGTGTTCTGCCCAGCTCTTAATGCCTTGTCTTTACAAGATTGTTCACTGTGAGATGTTGTATGATTCCTTCCCTTAGGATTCTCTCCAGGAGCTTGAGGATGTGTTATGGCAAGCTGGTCGGGCGGTAGTGTTCTGCCCAGCTCTTAATGCCTTGTCTTTACAAGATTGTTCACTGTGAGATGTTGTATGATTCCTTCCCTTAGGATTCTCTCCAGGAGCTTGAGGATGTGTTATGGCAAGCTGGTCGGGCGGTAGTGTTCTGCCCAGCTCTTAATGCCTTGTCTTTACAAGATTGTTCACTGTGAGATGTTGTATGATTCCTTCCCTTAGGATTCTCTCCAGGAGCTTGAGGATGTGTGATGGCAAGCTGGTCGGGCGGTAGTTTTCTGCCCAGCTCTTTCTGCCTTTTTTAAAAAATATGGGAAACATTTGTATATTTCCAATCCAGGGGAACTATCCCTTGGTCCAGGGATTTTCTGAACAGTAGTTTCAGTGGCATGCATAATGCGTCTGTCAGTTTCTTTACAACTTTAGATTGAAATCCCTCCACACCTGGGGCTTTAGAGTCTTTTATTTTGTCAATGTTCTTCCTGACTGTGTCTCAGGTAATGGGTATATATATCCGTTAATTAACTCTCTTCACCTCCTTCAAACATTTGTGTGGGTGATGGGATGAAGCGACAAAACTCCCACACAGGGAATAGCTCAACTGACAGCTGAAGCTTACAAGGTCTGCTTGAAGCACGTACCTGTGAGGAGGGGCAGAAAGAGGACCACTCTAGAAAGAGAACGGAGACGACTGTACAGGAGAAGGAAAAAAATAACGGAAATGCTTCGGCAGACACAACTATCACAAGCAAGGAAAACAAGCCTAAGCAGGGAGATTGAGGAAATAGAACAAACGTTGAAGCGATCATATGAGTCTGAGGAAATGGAATTGGAACAGAAAGCTATACAAGAGATAAGGAAAAATCCGAAATATTTTTTCACATACGCAAAATCAAAATCCAAAACCTCGACCAGTATTGGACCGTTAATTACAAATGAAGGTACGTACACAGAGGACAACAAAGAGATTAGTGAAATTCTAAGAAGCCAGTATGAGGCTATGTTTAGCACACCAATAAACAACATGAAAGTTGATGACCCAGACAGCTTCTTTATGAATGACATTCAAGCTGCAGATAATATAACGGATATTACCACAAACTCGGAAGACTTTGAAAGAGAAATTGATAATATGCCCAAGCACTCAGCTCCTGGGCCTGACTCATGGAATTCAATATTCATAAAGAAATGTAAAGTACCAGTAGCGAGAGCACTCAGCGTAATATGGAGAAAGAGCCTGGATACAGGGGAGATACCAGCAGCACTTAAATCTACAGATATAGCTCCGTTGCACAAGGGGGGGAGTAAAGCCTTGGCAAAAAATTATAGGCCAGTTGCACTAACATCACACATGTTGTGCAACTTGAAAGAGTGTTTGAAAGAGTGATTAGGAATCAAATTTCTAGTTTTATGGAAAACAATGAATTGCACAATCCAGGACAACATGAATTTAGAGCGGGAAGATCCTGTCACAGTTACTCAACCACTATGACAAAATCACAGAAGCCCTAGAAGAAAAGCAAAATGCAGATGTTGTATACACAGACTTTGCAAAGGCGTTCGACAAACGTGACCATGGGGTGATACCTCACAAAATGAGGTCAATGGGAATAACTGGAAAAGTAGGACGCTGGATACTCAATTTCCTGTCGAACAGAACACAAAGAGTAACAGTCAATCAGATAAAATCGAGTCCAAGCGATGTTAAAAGCTCTGTACCTCAAGGTACAGTCCTTGCACCGCTACTGTTCCTTATTCTCATATCTGATATAGACAAAAATACACGTCACAGCTTCGTGTTGTCCTTTGCAGATGACACAAAAATCAGCATGAAAATTACCTCTGCTGAAGACATTGAAAAACTACTAGCAGATGTCAACAAAGTTTTCGATTGGGCAGCAGAAAATAACATGATGTTTAACAGTGATAAATTTCAGCTACTCAGGTACGGCAAAAATGAGGATCTGAAACATAATACAGGGTACAAAACTCAATCGAATCTTCCCATAGTAGAAAACCAGCATGTCAAGAATTTGGGAATAATGATATCCAATGATCTAACGTCTAGGGAGCATAACCAAGCAAATATCGCGTCAGCCAGAAAAATGATCGGATGGATTACGAGAACTTTCAAATCCAGGGATCCCATCACAATGGTTGTACTCTTCAAGTCACTTGTGTTGTCCCGTCTT